GTGTGGTGTGATATGGGGTGGTGTGGTGTGGTGTGATATGGTGTGGTATGATATGGGGTGGTGTGGTGTGGTGCGATATGGTGTGGTGTGATATGGGGTGGTGTGGTGTGGTGTGATATGGTGTGGTATGATATGGGGTGGTGTGGTGTGGTGCGATATGGTGTGGTGTGATATGGGGTGGTGTGGTGTGGTGTGATATGGTGTGGTGTGATATGTGGTGGTGTGGTGTGGCGTGATATGGTGTGGTGGGGTGTGATGTGGTACAGTGTGGCGTGAGGGGGTGTAGTGTTGCGTGGCGTGGTGTGACACGGTGTGGTGTGATATGGTGTGGTGTATTGTGGTAACGTGTGGTCTGATATGGTGTGGTGTGATATAAGATAAGATAAGATAAGATAGTACTTTATTATCCCAGAGAGAAATTTTCCTTGGCTGTACAGGACCGTAAAAACACATGCAGGTATACATAAAAAAACTTTAATCATATATATTACTCTCATTAAAATTCAATCTGAAAGGAGAAGTAAAGCTGACAAAATGTACATTTACAACAAATGCATCATTCAGCCACATGCAGGAATTTAAATACTAGACATTTGGAGTTATATACAGATTCATACTCAAAGAGCAACACACATCTATGCTCATTCTGACAAAAAGAAATCTTACAATTTGTGTGGAAAAGGGTGTGATGGGTTGTTTATAATGCTTTTTATCTTTTTTATACGTGTGGTGTTATACATTTCATCCATTCTTATAAAATCATATCCAGAGATCTTGCTGGATTTCTTAATGGTTCTATCAAATTTTTCTTTATCTTTCACCTTACAATTCCCACCCCAGCAGCAAATACAAAATAATACCACACTTTCAATCATAGAATGGTAAAAAAGGGACATAATCTTATTGTCAACACGGAAACTTCTTAAATTCCTTAAAAGAAACGTCTGATTTGTTTTTTTATGCACACGAGCAGCGTGGGGATGCCAGTCAAATTTGTGGTCGATTGTTACACCAAGATACTTGTAAGAGCTTACCACCTCCACCTCTTCAGCTTTAATAAATAGTGGTTGCAATAATATTGGTCTTTTTTATTCTAAAGTCTATTATTAATTCCTTTGTCGTTTTTACGTTTAGTTTATGGAAGTGGTTATCACACCAATTTGTAAATAGATTCACAGCGTCCCTGTATTCATTCTCATTTGTTGTTATAAGGCCTTGTAAAGTGGAATCATCCGCAAATTTTATCAGTTTGATGTTTTTGTTATCAAAAGTACAGTCGTTGGTGTAGAACGTAAGCAAGACAGGGGAGATTACACAGCCTTGGGGCGCACCAGTGTTCGTGAATATTGGGTCGGATTTTACACTATTTAATTTTACATAATGTTGAGGTCGATTGGTTAAGAACTGAAGAATCCAAGCTATAATGTTCTTGTTTATGTTCATGTTAATTAATTTTGAAACCATTATGTGCGGTTGGATTGTGTTGAATGCGGATAAAAAATCAGCAAAAAGTATCCTGCAGTAATTTCTTGGTGTGTCTATGTGTTTGTAGATGCTATCTAAGAACACGAGAATGGCATCCTCCACGCCCCTTTTGGCACGATAGGCATATTGCATGTTACCCTGTATGTCTTCTGTTGATTTTCTCAGTTCTTTCAAAACCAGTTTTTCTAAACATTTTATGAGGACTGATGTTAAAACCACAGGTCTTAGGTCGTTCAAATTTTGTATTGTTTCTTTGGGACAGGAATATGGTGTAGTGTATTGTGGTAACGTGTGTTCTGATATGGTGTGGTGTGGTGTGATATGGTGTAGTGTATTGTGGTAACGTGTGGTCTGATATGGTGTGGTGTGGTGTGATATGGTGTAGTGTATTGTGGTAACGTGTGGTCTGATATGGTGTGGTGTGGTATGGTGTGATATGATGTAGTAAAGTGTGGTAACGTGTGGTCTGATATGGTGTGGTGTGGTGTGATATGGTGTTGTGTGGCGCAGCGTGGCATGGTGTGGCGTGATGTGGCGTGGTGTGGTATAGTTTTTCTGGTAAAGTGGGGTATGATATTATGGTGTGGTGTGATGTTGTGCTGTGTTGTGGTGTGATGTGGTCTCGTTTGGTGTGGTTTGGTGTGGTGTGGCGTGGCATGGCGTGGCGTGGTTTTGTGGTGTGATATGGTGTGGTGTGGTGTGATATAGTGTTGTGTGATGTAGTTTTGTGTAGTATGGTAAGGTGCGGTCTGATATGGTGTGGTGTGATATATTGTGGTGTGATATTGTGTGGTGCAGTATTGATTCTTGAGGTGTGGTGAGGTGTGGTGTGGTGTGGTGTGGTGTGGTGTGGTGTGGTGTGGTGTGGTATGATATGGTAAGGTATGGTATGGTATGGTATGGTATGGTATGCTTTGCTGTGGTTTGGTGTGGTGTGGTGTGGTGTGGTCTGGTGCGGTATGGTGTGGTGTGGTGTGGTGTGGTGTGGTAAACTAAATTAGCATATTAATATGGTATAATAAGACAGGTACATCATTTGCTTTTCATCTCGTTTTCATGTTATTTATACCTTTCTTTTGTTTCTTGTATCTGGATTTTGACTGTAACCTGATCAACAAGAGCCCATAATCTGTCTTGCTAGCGTCAGAGATAACCAATCTTTGGTGATTACACAAATATAACTTTTCCAAAAATCTTGTAGTGAATGCAGAAAGGTATACAACGTATGAAAAAGGTCTTTTTACACAATGAATAACAGATAAAAGCGGTTCTAAATACTTGAAACTTTAATATGAAATGCCAGATCGGAAGACGACGAGTTAAATATTAAGGAAGACACTCCCAACTTGGCGGATGAAACTTCTGAATGTGTTCAAGAGATGAAAATCTGGATGAACAGCATGAGCAATAAACTTAAGCTTAGTGTGGATAAATCTGGGATCATGCTCATTGCATTCACAAATAATATGACTCAAACTTTTCCAAGTAGTAATGTCAATGGCCTTGATATTGAGTCCAAATTAAGTTAAAAACGCTGATATGTTTTTTTTTAAAATATCGATTAGCCCATGTCTTCTCATACGAGCTTTCATTGTACAAATCTTTGCTTGTTGACAGACAGACAACCATACAACAAACAGACAGAATGGAAGTGGGATGAGGTAGTTCAATAGTACATAATATATTGAAATGTGTCTAGGTTTGCTAGTAGGTCAGTTCAGTTGTTAGTGATTTAGTAAGTCGGCCAATTATCTAGTTGAGTTGCCCATTGATTCGTTTACTGACATTTATCGAGTTCATGAGCTAGTAAGATAATTAGAACCTCCATTCTCAGGGATATGGTTTTTACCTGTTTCTTGTCAAGTTCCACTGGGATATGGCCTGTGAGCATCTCGATCTCAACGGTGATGGGACCAGAATCTTCATCAGCCAGATGCCTGACAGAACATAGTGATGATGATGATGATGATGATGATGATGATGATGATGATGATGATGATGATGATAACATAACATTTCTTACCCCCCCTCCCCCCTCCTCCTCCAAGTCTCCATGTTATTCTTAGATTTACCTTCAGAAACGTGAATCATATTGTTTCTTCCAACATCTGGAGTCAGTAACAATAACCTCAATGATAACAACAACAACAACAACTGCAGCATCGACAACAGCGGCAACCACAACCACCAAACCACCATCACCACTATCACCACCATCACCAACACCATTGCCACTACTACTATCAATAACAACAACAACAACAATAATAACAATAAAAACAACAACAACAACAACAACGGGATCCAAACTTTTCGGAAGGATAGGCCACCACATACAACAACAACAACAACAACAACAACACAACAACAACAACAACAGCAGCAACAACAACAACAGCAGCGAAAAGTTAAAACTGTCTCAACTCACTGTAAACACACTTGAAAACAGATAGACTTCTTGCTTGCTGCATCAAAGTTCCGCAGAGATCTCTTGGATCTATTAGGGCGACACCGTTTGTGATTCCGATTCTTCCCATTGCAGCGATGTCTGCGAGAGCCGTGCCTAATAGAAAAAATGAAATCATGTATATATATTATGTACATGTATAAATAAAATATAAACACGTATAATATGATGCTGCTGCTCTCAATCCAAAGAATAATTATAAGATATAGTTTCACATAAAATAATGTGAAAAACAAACACACCAATGAAACAATAAATACATCAATGACTAAATTCACTGGAAAATTACTTTATATTTTCATAAGATATAACTACAGATATGACTAACTAAAATAAATCAATGATTGCGTTACGTTAAACTGTTTATGAGGATTATATTACTTTGGAAAAGATAACACATATAGAGTGTATACGTCGACGTTGGTGGACTACCTTGGATTAATTTCCGCTTTTTGGTGAGATATTACGAAAAGGGACACACATACGGTGACAGAGAGAAAGGGAGAGAGGGCGAGAGCAAGAGAGTGAGAGCGAGAGACAGACAGACTGACAGAGAGTGAGAGAGATAGAGAGTGGGGGAGGGTGGGGAGAGGGAAAGAGATAGAAATAGGGAGGGTGGGTTTGCAGGTTCAGCAAGGTGGGGGGGGGGGGGGG